TCGAGCCGGTACCCATATGGGATGGCCGGAGATGCCAGGTGAACCTAGCACACCACAATGCCAGCCCCAGGGGCCTGGGATTGAGAACCAGCTGCAGCTCCTAATTCCAGCGCCCTGCTGATGAAGACCCAGGGAGGCAGCAGGTGATGGCTACAGTCACTGGGTTGCTGCCACCCATGTGGGAGACCTGCACTGAGTTTCCGGCTCCCACCTTTGGCCGCAGTCCTGGCTAGTGCAGGCATTTCAGGAATAAACGAGTGATTGGAGGCTCTTGGGGGGCAGGGAGAGTCTCTGTGTCTCTGGCTCTAAAATAAATAAATCAATGACAATGATTTAAAATTGATCCTGTATATGCCCTGCGTCTTTTTGCCAACTCAAGGACATGTCCCTGTGTGGGTATAGAGAGGAAGAGGAACCCCCATACCCACATGTGTTTCTCCTCTTATGGGGTCATTGATGTCTTTCTCACCTGGTGAGGATGAGCTCTCTGATGGGGAACGCTGGTTTACACTCACATGTAGTGGGTGAGGGAAGAGAAGGAGGATGATCTGTTTGTTAAATTTCCTCCTATGGTTTCCAGGTATAGTTGAGTTCCTCAAAGAGAAGGGCATAGGGTCTCTCTGTGACAGTCAGAAATCAGCAGGGCCACTCTGGCTCCTCCAGCCCTGCCCACCTAACCTTTGCCAAACCGTCTCCTTCAGGTGACGCCGAGGGCACCAGGAGTGCTGGGGTCCCAGGTGTCTCTATCCTATCGGGATCCTGTAGCCATCATACTTGGTGGTGTCTGCTGTGTCCTTTCTCCACTGCCATTGCTCTACTCCTCCCATGTAGCATCTCCTGGAATCCTCTTGCCGTGCCCAGGGTCACAGTGGCAGTAACGGAAGGTCAGAGAGGCTAAGTCATTCACCCCGTTGGCCCTGGGTCATCCAGGCAGAACAGGGACAGAGCCAGTCACCGCAGCCACTGTGCCGCATCTCCATCTTCACCTGCGGCCAAAGGAGGACTTGGCTGGAGAGGCAGGGTGGGGGAGGGGGACACCACCCCAGGTCTGACCTCCCTGAGTATCCCCAGGACTGGACACTGCCTTCTCAGCCAGCTCTCGGCTGAGGCTGCTTAGACCTCCCCAAGGAGCACCGAGGAGGCTGGCATCATGCACGCCCATTGCAGGGAGCCTGGCTTGTGCTGTGTGTGCTATAGCAATCTTTTTCAGTCATCACAAGTCCCTGAACTCCAAATACCAGAGCCACTAAGGTGCTTCAGAAAGGACGTATCGCTCACCTTCTCTGCATGTATTGGAAGACACAGAGACACTTGGAAAGATGGGCTTTCGCAGTATCACAGTCTTGTCATGTGCAGCTGGGATTTGTCACCCATGAAACACACTAGGCACAGTCTCGGGGACAATGGTAAAGAGGCGCAGTCTCAGCAGGGAAGCCGCCCTTAAGTAATTGCAGCTCAAGGCACCAAGTGCTTCGCTGGAGCTGCCAACTGAGTACAGTGAGTGTTCTTGGAGCACAGCTCTTCCCGGTGGGGCCAGAACCGCATCACGGCATCCAGGGTGAATCCTGCAAGGCAAACAGCAGCTCCCCAGAGAGAGAAGAATGGGACGAGTGGAGAGAGGGCACCGTGGAACAAAGCCTCGGAGGTGTGCAGGGAAAAGCAGGCTTGGAACAGAGAGAAGATCACTGGGGAGGGGGCAGAAGATCGTGTGGGTGTGATGGGCCAGGGAGAGCAGTCCATGATCGTGAACAAGACGTCTGAGTTGAATCCTGCCACTTAGAAGGAGCCCACTGGGGCTGGCGCTGTGGCGTAGTGGATAAAACTGCCTCCTGCAGTGCCGGCATCCCATATGGGCACCAGTTACATTCCGGCTGCTCCACTTCCCATCCAGCTTTCTGCTATGGCGTGGGAAAGCAGTGGAAGATGGTCCAAGTCCCTGGGCCCCTACACCCACATGGGAGACCTGGAGGAAGCTCCTGGCTCCTGGCTTCAGATTGGCGCAGCTCTGGCCATTGCGGCCAATTGGGGAGTGAACCAGCGGATGGAAGACCTCTCTCTCTCTCTCTCTCTCTGCCTCTCCTTCTCTCTCTAACTCTGACTCTCAAATAAATAAATAAATCTTAAAAAAAAAAAAAAAAGAGTCCATTGGCTCAGGGGATCTTAGATGGAAAGAGAAGTTCAGTTTCCTGGTCTTATGTAAATTAAACTCTTGGCCCCGGGGGCAGTCGTCACATAGGCAAGGACATAGAACCCACTTGAGAAGCTGAAGAATATCGCTGATTGCAGGCTTTGATATTGATAGATAAAATTTTTAGAGACAGCTGAGGATGTCTCATAGATCACTGGACCTCAAGCGATCCCCCAGGCAGCGTTGGGACGTGTGCGGGTGTGTCTGGAGAATGCTGCAGGGATTTACTGGTTGGGGGCCCAGGGGTCTTACTGTTCTTTGCTGTGTAAGAAAGTGAAGGGGCCAGTGCTGTGGCGTAGCAGGTTAAACCACCTCCTGCAGTGCCGGCATCACATATGAGTGCCAATTTGAGTGCCAGCTGCTCCACTTCCGGTCCAGCTCCCTGCCAATGCACCTGGGAAAGCAGAAGAAGATGGCCTACGTGCTTGGGTTGCTGCTACCCAAATGGAAGACCGGGGTGGAGTCCCAGGTCCCTGCCTTCAGCCTGTTCCAGCCCTGGCCGTTGCAGGCATTTGGAGGAGTGAACCAGCAAATGGAAGATAATTCTTTCTCTCTGTCTTTCTCCCTCTCTCTCTGTAACTCTGTCTTTCAAATAAAGAAAGAAATCTTTATTTTTTTTTAAAAGGGGCGGGGGAAGTACCCCATACAAAATGCCAATAACATTCTGTCTGGTATCTATTGCTTGAACCCTACACAACCTCAGTGGCCTACAAGAAGTGTTTTTGAGGTAGCTCTGCTGGTCTTGACTGGGTTCGCACTCGTGACTTGGGCCATTGTGGAGGATGTGCCCCAGGCCAGGGCTCTCATGCTGGGGCAGGCTAGCCTAGGCGTTTGCTCATGGCAGTGGCAGAGGTGCAGAGCACACCTACTCTGTGAGACTAGCCTCGGGATCCACCAGCCCTGCCGCCCACCTGTTCTGTTAGCAAAAGAAAGTCACAGGTCCAGCCCAGACTCCAGCAGCAGGGTAGACTTCCCCTCCTGTAGGTGCCACCTCGAAGGAGAAGGACACTGCGGGGCGGGGCAGGTGGTGGTGGTGAATCAATGCCTTCATCTGCCTTCACACACACCTTGAGAAACAGTGCCCTAGCATGGTCTATTAAGGCAATGACCTTAACTGTTACAAGGCTTTGCAGAGAAAGCTAATTCTTTTTTTTCTTTCTGATTACAACGCTATGGTTTGGAGAGTTAAAAATATATATCATCCTGGGTTCTATTACATTCCGCCAGGTTGGTAACGTTAGCCATGTAAACTTATATGCAGTGCATGGTACCATAGATAAGGCTGATGCAACCAGAAACATTTAGAACCAGCACCATGGTCCCTTGCAAGTTATTTTTTTTAAGTTAACTTTCTTAAAACACAAATTGCGCAGATTAAGCCCTCCTGTTCAGCCTGTCAAATTGTCATGTGTGTGCACATCTGTGTCACCATCACTCCAATCATGATGTGGGACATTCCCATCATCCTAGAAGTTCTGCCTGTTCCCAGTCCATTCATCCCCAAATGCCACATTCCCATCTAACTTTTTCCAAGTTATTTTATTTTTGGTAAATATTTCTGTGTTTATTTGAAGGGCAGAGTTACAGAGAAAAAGGGAGATACAGAGAGAAAGAGATCTTCCCTCCACTGGTTCATTCCCCAAAATGACCACAATGGCCAGGGCAGAAGCCAGGAACCTGGAACTCCATCTGAGTCATCTGCATGGGTGCAAGGTCCCAAGTACTTGGACCATCTTCCAGTGCCTTCTCAGGTGCATTAGCAGGGAGCTGGATAGGCAATGGAACAGCCAGGACCTAAACCAGCAATCATATGGATGTTGGCATCATAACCCGCTGTGCCACAACACTGGCCCCAAGTTGTCTGGTTTCTTAAATTCAATTCTCCACCTGTGAAATAGGCATCGTCCTGCCTCACCCTTAGGGTTATTAGGAGGTTTGCATGGGAAAATACTGGGCTGCCCTGGGCCTGTAGAACTATGCGAGAGATCTTCAAAAAGTTCGTGGAAAAACTATGTATAGAGGTCACAAGTTTTTGCACCAAAAGAATCTTTGGCTTGCACGTTTCCATGAACTTTCTGAAGTTCTCCCAGATACCCGTGTCTGCATCGCAAGTACAGAGTTCTCGGTTCCCGATCAGCAGGTTAGCCTGCCCTTTTCTACTGGTTGGGGTAGGAAGGAGAGAAGTGGCTCGGGTTCCTGCTCACCAGCGGAGACTGAAGTCAGACCTCCAGGGACTTAGAGGAGAGGGCAGGGCAGGGGACGGCAGAGGAAGGAGGAAGGGTGGGATTCTGATTACACTTTCAGAAATCAGAATCTGATTAAACTTAGATGAAACAGGAGGAAAGCAGTTCCTGATCTGGCAATGCGTTTGTTCTGTTTTGTTTCCAATGCCTGGTGCCAAGATGGAAATCTGTAGCTGCAGAGAGAGAGAAGCATCAGGTCCCACCGAGGCCCTTCCTGTCCTGGCTGTCCCTCCCCTTCCGCGGTTCCCCTGTGTGATGTGACATCCTTGTGCTAAGCTGTCTTAGAAAGCACTTGTTTATTTGTAGGTTTATGGAAGGCCACCCGTTTTGTCACTGAGTGCCACCATCATTCTTAGCCATGAGGGCCTTAATTCTCAGGTGGCAGAGCCGTCCGCCTCTCACTTGACCCTTAGTGAAGTCAGATCAAATTGCAGAGTCTGCAGGTGACCATCAATAACGTCCCAGCAGGTGATAAGCTGGGGGTGGGGGGACAGGGCGCACTGGGCAGGCATCCAGCCAGCCCTGTGAGCTGCTCTTCCTGGGCCCAGGCTCCGCTTCCTACCTTCCAGCTCCAGAAGCAGCTCTCCGAGCTGGACGAGGACGACCTGTGCTACGAGTTCCGGCGAGAGCGCTTCACCGTCCACCGCACGCACCTCTACTTCCTGCACTACGAGTATGAGCCTGCTGCCGACAGCACGGATGTCACCCTGGTCGCCCAGCTCTCCATGGACAGGTATGGCACGGGGGCCCCGCCCACCACACAGCGCCCCCTCGCGGCCACTCTTTGCCTGGAGGGTTCCTGGGCAAGGGAGAGAGGGCCACACAGATTTTGGAATCCAGCAAGGTAGGGCTTGTGTCTCATTTGCTCCCAGCACTGAAAACCAAGGGCTTTTGACTTGTTGTTTGAGGATAAAGGGAAGAATTGGGTCTGAAGAGGGAGAGCCATATTCACATGACCCAAGGAAGAAGGGAAATGAGGAGACTGGAGCCACAGCTGCCGCTGGACAGTGACCGCTGTGTCCTTCCCTTACACAACCATTCATGGGCATGACCGGAAGTGATGACCTGGCCCTGCCCATAGGCGGCATACAGTACCAGGTGCCTCCCAGGGTAGAGAGCACACCAGGCCCAGTTGGGAACGCCCAGGGTCTGATCAGAGCTTCAGGGGCAGGAGTGAGCAGAAGAGAACCAATGAACTTGGCCAGGGAGGATTACAGGGGGACCTTGGGGAAACCAGGGAAGGTGGCTGACCTTTCTGGCTCGTATCTCTCTAAGGGACCTGGCCTAGACCAGTGTCCCAGGATCACCCCTAAACTGTAAACAAAAATATTTATTTGTTTTATTTGAAAAGCAGAGTTATAGAGAGAGGGAAAGATAGAGAGACCTTCCATGTACTGATTCACTCCCCAAATGGCTGCAATGGCCACAGCTGGGCCAAATCCAGGAGCCAGGAGCTTCTTCTGAGTCCCCATGTGGGTTCAGGGGCCCAAGCACTCAAGCCACCCTCCACTGCTTTCCCAGGTGCATTAGCAGGGAGCTGGACTTGAACCTGCACCTGTATGGGATACCAACTTTGCAGGTGGTAGCTTAACCCACTGCACCACAATGCCAGATCTCATTTTGTTTTAAATGCTTAATTACTTTATTTCAAAGGCAAAGTTACAGAGAGACAGAAAGAGAAGGAGATACTCCCAAAGTTATTAAGTCCCCCTTGGCATCTCGCTTTGGGTTTGGATGCCCAAGCTCCCTGCACTACCAAACAGCCCCATCAGCAAGTCACCTGGCCACACCCACCCTCATTGCAGCCCTGTCTGCTCCTTCTCCTCCATGGCGTGGAACATGAAAGTAAAATCTAATCCTCCACGTCGTGCTGAGTGATGCTATGGAGAGGGCATCTCTTCTGCACGCAGCATGACTGGGCCTGATACTGTAGTTTTCACAGGTGAGTGAGTGCTGCCTAAACCCACGGTCCCATCCCTGTGAGCATTGCTGGCTCCCCTCTGCTGTATCCACACCTCCTAAAAATACTCTCAGTCGTCAGCAGGGTGTTCTGCCTCGAGGTCAACGGCCAGTGGGTACCCAAGAAATCGGATGCGGTTTCTAATCAGAGTAGATTGGCCTAACAGTGAACGAGAACTGGTCCCTAGAGTCAGGCACTGTGGGTTCTTTGTGGCTTTGCCACTTCTTGGGTGGGTTTGGCTTTTGGACAAGTCACCTAAGCCTCAGTTTCCTCATCTGTAAGATGGGAATGACAATTGCATCATAATTATCTCCAGGGTTATAAAGATTAAATGGGTGGATACGGGCGCCGTGCTGTACTTAGCCCTGGCATACATTCAAAGGCTCCCTGAACCCAGCACATGGTCTCTGCTGGGTGCTGGGTGCTGGGTGCTGGGTGGCAGGCCCTGGACATGAGGACAGGGTGCTCTGGGTGAAAAATCCCCACCAGCTCCCTCAGTCCTCAGCTGGTCTGGGGCATCTTAGGGGCTGGATTTCTCCCATGCCGTGTAAGGTCCTTGTTAAATGAGAGACCCTGTGAAAGCCCACGGTCCATATTTCACATCCGGCTTTAATTATTATTTATTTTGGGAAGCTCTATGCCAGCTTCTAGAATTTGCTATCTGGATTTGTAACCACATAGAAGGAAAATGATTTGAGTTATTAGCAACCCCAGCCTGTGTGTGTGCACACAGAGAGAGCAGAAGCCAGCAGGAAGCACCCTGCAGGCATGGGCTGCAGGTGCCCCCGGGAGGACCTGCCCTCACGGTGCCCGCCCCCCATGCATGGCAGACACAGGGCACCCTAGTGAAAGGTGACAAGTGTGGCCGTCCAGGCAGTACCAAGGCCTGGAGACAGCCGCTTAGCAGGACACAGCGGGAAGCTGCGAAGCGGAGCCCCAGCTGATGGCGACGGAGAAACTCCTGCAACTACTCCCCCGCCCCCCCAAATCCCTGAACAGTCAATTACGAAGCCGTGTGCTGACTGGGGCCTGTTGGATTGATTTTTAATTTCAGAAACACTTCGGGTGTGTTTGTAAACCTTCGAGTCAGAAGTAGGCCCTACGTGAATGCCACAAGGAATTAGGTAGCTGCCTCCGGGCTCCCGGGCCCGGCTCCCTCTAGAATTCCCTTCAGTGCCGCCACCGCAGGCAGCTCTTAGGCCGGGAAGCCTGCTCAGCTGCACCCATTCCTCCCGCCCCAGCAGAAGAGGGGAGTGCTGGGAGGGTGAGGGGGGTGGGGGGTGGGGTTGTGGAAGGGGAGCGCTGGGGAGGGAGGACACCTGGTTGGGGAGAGACGTGCTCATAGAGTGCCATGGACCAAGGTGCGGGAGCACTAACTCAGTTACAGGGCATCACCTGGCCAAGGAGTCTCCTCTCTGCTTTCAGCAAGAACTGGAAATACAGGTTCTCAGGCCCCACCTGGCCCTCCTGACCCAGAATCTAAGCCAGCCTGCAGAACCTGCACTTGAAGCTCCCCAGGGGATGTCCTAAGCACCGACTGGTTTATCAAGTGCCAGGAATTTCTGTCTCCCTGTAAGATGAGAGGGATCTTTTCAAAATACAAATCAGGTTCCGTTGTTAAAAGCCCTGGATGACTTTCTCATTGTGTTTAGGGCAGCATCCACCCCACTCCCAAGGCCTTCCAGGCTCATAAGATGGCACCTGCCCACCGCTGGGGCGCCTTCTCCTCAGCCCCTCACTCACCCGCCCCCACCCACAGCGGTCCTGCTGCTGTCGATTGAACCTGCCGACGCCATCTCTGTCCCAACAGCTGTTTCCTCCTCTTAGAAAGCTTTTCCCCCAGACTTCCACAAAGCTGGAGCCTCCTTGTTGTGTAGGCGGCTTACACCTGTGCACCAGGCGGCTTACAAACAGCAGATGTTTATTTCCCACAGTTCTGGACCACGTGGTGTCTGGCGAGGGGCCGCTCTCTGGTTTGGTTATTTTTATGACACCTTCGTGTGGTGGGAGGGGCCAGTGACCTCTCTAAAGGCTTCCTGATGGCCCAGCTCTGCCCCTGTGACCTGATCACCTCCCAAAGCCTCCGCCTCCTAAAACCATCGCCTTAGGGTTAGAAGTCCATGGGGGCGGGGGGGTGCACAGACATTCAGACCACAGCTCCGGATCTCAGCATTCCTCCCCTTCAGAGGAGCCTTCGCTGGCCAGCCCTCGCAGGTCCATTCTGTTCTGTGTCCCTGCCCTGAGCCCCGGTAGTCCCAGTTCCATCTGGAACTTGTCACCGTGTGGTTTGTGGACTTGTCTCTGCCCACGTGCTGCAGAATGCAGTGACTTGTCCTGTGTGGCGTACCTGGCCCGCTGCACGTACTCAGTGAATAGTTTGTTGAATTGAATGCACATTCAAAAGGGAGAAACAGCACTAATGGGAAAATGATAGCGCTCACACTGAACACCTGCCATATATCTAGCTTTGGGCTAGAGACCTCTTTTATATAATTATCTCATCTAACACTCAAATCTAGAGATTGTATCAGTTACCCATTGCTGCCTAACAGGCAGTCCCGAGCCTCAGCAGCTGAGTACAGAAACCGTAATGAGTTCACGATACTGTGCGTTAGCGGTTCAGCTGGGCTCATCCCTGTGCCTGCCATCAGCTACGTGGCTTGCCCAGGGGTTGGGTGGCAGTCAGCTGGACAAAGGCAGCGCTTGGGCCACATGGCTCATGATGTGGAAAGTCAGCACTGGCCTGGTCAAGGTGGCAGTCGCAGGTTGCAGAGCAGCAGGAGAGACAGAGCGAGTTCAGCCATTCGGTAGTTTACTCACCAGTGGCTGCAGCAGGCAGGGCTGGGCCGGGCTGAAGCCGGGAGCTAAGAACACAATCCGGGTCTCCCACGTGGATGGCAGCAACCTGATTGCATGAGCCATCGCTGCTGTCCCCAGAGTCTTTGTGAGCAGAAAGTTGGAACCAGGAGCTGGAGCCAGGAATTGAACCCCATGTACTCTGGTATGGCATGTGGACTTCTTAACCAGGATCCTAAACACCAGGCTGGGTGCCCACCCCTGCATAAGCACTTTTTACCATCACGTGATATGTATGCTCATGCCCCATGGACCAGCCCAGAATGAATGAGGATGAGTATCACCAAAGGGTGCGGGTAGAGGGAGAGGAGTGACTTGTAGCAATTTCATAATCCACCCAAGATGTTGCTAACCCCCAACTTACATGTGTGGAAATGACAGTTCAGAGAACCATCACAGCTGGATGGCCCAGAGTGCAAATCCAGATCTGTGTGACCCTAAAGCCCACAGCTGCCAGCCGTGCTGAGGCACCCAGAGCCTGCCTAGCTGCAGTGCCCAGGTGAGGATGGGCCACCCGGTAGGTTGGGAGTTCCCCATCCCAGGTGGGGCTGAGTGGTCGGCAGCCCGGGCTGCTTGGGACCACTGGTGCTTGAATTCCTTGCCAGCCCTGGCCCTGCAGGTATCTCCCTCGGCCCTCTCTCTGCCTGCTCCCTCATAACTGCAGGGAGTTTGTGAGGCTTCCCGCCTATCTTCAGACCCACCAGGCATCTGTGTGGCTGGTCCCAAGCCTTGAGTCCCACTCTCTCCAGCACAGAGCCCCTGCAGGCTCCACAGGAACAGGAAGCGAGCATGGGACAGTCAGGACTCAGGGGTCACATGCACTGACATCCCGTGCTCTTGAGCAAGGTGCACCACCGCCGCCAAAGCTTCTTAGCTCTTTCACAGTACCCAGGATCTAACCACTGTAAGTCTCTCCGATTCTTCCCAGAGTCCCAGCTCTGTGGGTTCAGAATTCATCTGTGTCTTTTGAAATACTCCCCAGTGACCCAGTGCTTGCCGGGTCAGGGGTCCCTTCCTGCTCTCTCTGGAGAGCAGAGAAAGACTCATCAGAGAGAGCCCTGCAGCAGTGAGAGCATCCCAGGATGAAGCACCCCTTCAGCAGCAGGTGTGGGGAGACAGCCCCTAGAACCAGCCAGAGGATGGTGCATCTTGTGGGCGGATCCCAAGAAGGGCTGAAGAGGTGGCGGAAAAGAGAGGTTGGCATCAAGGGAGGGACGTGCACTTGCTTGGGGAAACAGCAAGGAGAGGAAGATATTTGGGGGACATTGCTGTCGACCAGACACCAACACATACAGATGCTGGGTTTGGGATCAGACGGACCTGGGTGCGAATCCAGCTGCATGACATAAAGGTGTCACTTGCTTCACCTCCTTGCGTTCCATCCCCTGGTGATGAGAGTCTCGCCTCTTTGAAGTTATCATGCTTGCTCACAATGAACACAGTCACAGCATGACCGGCACGTGGCCAGCAGCAGGTAAGAGGCAGAGATGTAGGCATTGGCATTGTGGCTCAGTTTGTCACTGCTGTCCAGCTCCTGGCAGGAAGACTCAGGGAGCTGGTGGCATAGAGCGGTCGTGGATCACGCCATCATTTGCTCTCTGGTTCACTCTCGGACGCTCTGCAGCACATCCGGCACCATTTCCTGTGCAGCGCAACTTGTTTTTCACACCAGCAGCACCTTTCTCCTGGGAACGTGAACGTTTTGTCTCTGTTCCTGCTACAAACTCTTAGCAGAGCTGGGAAGAACAGCCGCACCAGGTGGGGCTTGCTCCCTGGTTGGAAAACTGAGTCAGAAACCAAGTCAATGCAGGGTCCAGAGCTTCCCTGTGTCCCCTGCACGCCCAGTGAGACACAGCTCTGACCCCCATCCCCTCCAGCAGCTCTCAGATCTACAGATTAGAAACCAGTCTTGTCCTTTATTCTCCAGTTCTGCAAGGATCAGTACTAACGGCTCTCTCTGGAGGTGCAGGGTCGCCTCTTTTGCAAGAGATCAAACTGAGCTGCAAGGGGGAATCATTTCAAAATACCAGACCCTGAAAGCCCAGGAGAGAGTGCACCCTGTGGCAGGGGTGAGATTTGACACCATGGAGAATGTGGTATCTCTTTAAAAGGACTGTAGCCAGGGCCAGCACTGTGGCCTGTATGGTAAAGCCGCCCCCTGCAGTGCCGGCATCCCATATGTACGCCAGTTCGAGTCCCGGCTGCTCCACTTCTGATCCATACCCCTGCTATGGGCTGGGAAAGCAGTGGAAGATGGCCCAAGTCCTTGGACCCCTGCACCCATGTGGGAGACCCAGAGGAAGCTCCTGGCTCCTGGCTTTGGATCAGCACAACTCCAGCCTTTGCAGCCAAATGGAGAGTGAGCCAGCAGATGGAAGACCTCTCTCTCTCTCTCTCTCTCTCTCTCTCTCTCTCTCTTTCTCTCTCTCTCTCTCTTTCTCTCTCTCTCTATGTAACGCTGACTTTCAAATAAATCAATCAATCTTTGAAAAAATAAATAGATAAAAGGCCAGCATTGTGGTGCAGCAGATTAAGCCACTGCTTGCAACATGAGCATTCCTCTTCCCATCCAGCCCCCTGCTAGTGCACCTGGGAAGGCAGCAGAAGACAGCCCAAGTGCTTAGGCCTCTGCGCCCATGTGGAGACCTGGATGGAGCACCAGGCTCCTGGCATCAGCCTGGCCCAGCCCCAGCCATTGTGGTCATTTGGAGAGTTGAACCAGTGGTTGCAAGATTCCCCAGCACCACCACCACCACCCACCCACACACAGACACCATGTAACTGTGCCTTTGAAATTACTAACTAAATGCATGTTTTTAAAGAATGGCTCTGGGCAATTTGATTAGCAGGCATTGTGAGGGATGAGAAATGGAAGGCATTTTACCCTGGTGAGTACCTAAATCCTCGGAACTGACAGAGGAAGGGAGCGTGGGCAGTGCTAATTCCCAGAATTACCGAGCGTGAACTCTGGACACCCATTGAAAAGCCACTGAAAGGAAATAGGGGTTCGCATTTCCTTTTGTCTAGAAGCGTGGAAATACCTGGAATCTATTTCCCGGTAATTGTGCTAATCAAGTGGGCATTCTGACCGGCACAGTGCTGAGCACCTGCCTCTCACTGGAGGGAAAGTGGCCTTTGTTGATTCTTAGCCACAGGTTTGATGTGCCTGTGCTTCGATGTCTTTTGGTGGTGGTGGTGGTGGTGGTGGTGGTGGTGGTGGTGGGTGTGTGGGACGGGTATCTTCTTTGCAAACAGTTCTTGCAGAACACCCTCTGTTGGAAGCACCTGTTGATTTTTCACCGCCTCTGTTCTTCCCTGTGCTTGGCTCAGGGTCTCCCAGGTGGCCTTGCAAAGTGGGAGGGGGCCTGGGGACAGAGAGAGCTCTAGACAGATGCAGACAGCGTCACCAGGGGGACACTTGGGTTCCCAGCACTCACCTCCTTCTCACTCCCTTTGCTGGGCTCCCAGGATTATTGTTCCTGTGAACTCCGAGGCCCCATCAGGGTACCCGCTCACGTGTGTCGGAGCTGTAGCATCTGGAGCCTTCCTGAGGGAAATGGGTGCTGAGGGTGCTGGGAGAACTCTGGACAGCACCTGGCACACACTAATGCATCCATAATCAGAGTCACTGTTACTTCTGGTATTATTCTTTTTCTTTGACACAGTAATTGTATGTATGAAGAGATGAAATCAGGGCAATTAGCATTCCCATCTCCTTAAGTCTTGATCATTTCTTTACCCTAGAAACCTCCAAACTCTTTGGGTTCTTTGTTAAAAATAAATAAATAAATAACCAACTCTTGTTTTTACTGTTTGTTGGACTCCATGATATAACTCCATGGCCTAGGTGTCTCTGTGTCTGTGGCCAGGCCTCCTGGAGGGCATTAGTTTATCAGGAGAGCTGTTTTCTGTGCCTTTGCTGAGAGAGGAACTGGGTTGGGGCTGGAAGGGGATTTGTGGATCAGCTCGTGTCCTCACGCCTCCCTCATTGAAGAGGAGACTGAGGCTTTATCGTGGGATGCTGTCACCTGCTGGGGTAGAAGCCCAGGAGGACCGGGACCAGCAGCGTGGGTGTCTCAATGCCCGTGGTGGAGGCAAAGGAGCTGAGTGTGGAATGTCCCAGGCAGGGGCGTGGGTTTGCAGCGAGGTTGTGGGCGGAGGCAGAGCTGCAGGGTGGGCGCAGGTGCCCGGCGCTCAGCGCTCCTTCTCTCGCAGACTCCAGATGCTGGAGGCCATCTGCAAGCACTGGGAGGGGCCCATCAGCCTGGCCCTCTACCTGTCGGACGCCGAGGCCCAGCAGTTCCTCCGCTACGCCCAGGGCTCCGAGGTGCTCATGAGCCGCCACAACGTGGGCTACCACATCGTGTACAAGGAGGGCCAGTTCTACCCCGTGAACCTCCTGCGCAACGTGGCCATGAAGCACATCGGCACCCCCTACATGTTCCTGTCTGACATCGACTTCCTGCCCATGTACGGGCTCTATGAGTACCTCAGGTAAGAACCCCGGGCCCAGCCACCACCACTCCCGCTCCTGGGACCAGCAGGCCCTGTAGGTGGTGGGGCAGCACCACGAGGCCACTAGGGTCATCTTCTAGTCCGGCCCTCTCCTTGAATAGTTGGGGCAGTGGAGACCCAGGCAGGGGAAGGGACCTGCCTAGGCCCACCCAGAGACGGAGCTCCAGCCCAGGGGTTTGGAAAGCAGCCCTAGGCAGTCTGGCTTCCTCCTTGTCCCAAGCCACATCCTGGAACTCGAGTTTGCGAAATGAAGGTGAGTTTGCTCTAGGAAGTCTCTCTGATGCTCTTTCCACGGCATCTGTGAAAATGGGCCGCCCCACTTCCCCCCTCGGATCAGGGAGCCCTCCGAGCACCACCGTAGAGAGATCGCAGCCTGCTGTTGACACAGACCCCAGCGTGATGTCTGCCCAGCCTCAGCGGAGGTGCTCGCTCGGTGCCAGGCGCTGCTCCGAGGTCTCCTTCCCTGCCCCATGGCCTCTGCTGCGAGTGGTTTCACCACCTCCGTTTCCCAACTGGGAAAGTGCGGGAGCGTTACGCACTCAGCAAAGGGGGAGCCGAGGTCAGAACTCCACCTTGCAGTGGCCTCTGGGGGTCGCCGGCGTCTCACCGCAGCTCCGCCACCTAGAGGGGCAGGTGTGCACCTGCTGGGGATGCACTTGGCTGATGGCAGGCTTGGAGCGCTGTGGGGGGGATGGCATTTGTCGCAGAATAAGGAGCAGTAGGAACTAAAAGGAGCTGGAGAAGGCACATAGCACAAAAGTCCCATTTGACACACAAGAAAACTAAAAGCACAAGGCGTCCCTGGTCCAACAGCAGTTTTCAAAGCCTCGCATGTCTTGTCCTGAGTTCTCCCTACTGCTGAGTTCTGGCCTGGAGCCGGCTGCTGTGAGAGGAGGATTGCGCGTAGTCAGGCTTGGATCCACTCCTCAGGCCCCAGAGGCAGCCGTGCTCACCCTCATCTCCAGCAGGGAAGAGAGAAGCCCAGGGAAGAAACAGCCCACCCAGGTTCTCAGAGCCCGTGCCCGGGTTTGGACCAGTGTCTTGCTGTCCAGGGCTTTCTGGCTGTTCCAGACAGGGTGGCTTCTAACTCCTTCCTCCCACATGCCTGCCTGTGTGTGTCTCTCTACGTGACTCCTCCAGTGTCACTGTTTCTTGGAAAAGAGCCCCTGAGAGTGCCGAGACCCTTTGTACAGCAGCCACAGCGCAGCCTCGGTGAGCGCCTCCCTTGCTTGCGCTCCCTCTGGCCGGGGAAGGCAGCCTCTGCTCGCCGTGCAGCTCTGAGTCGCGTTTCCTTCCCAGCATCCTGAGGTTTCATAGCATCAGTCCCTCTCCTGCCAGCCTCTCTCTGTCTCTCTCTTTCTCACACAGTAGGGTAAGCGGCCCCTGCACTGCCTAACCCTGCATCGTGGAGGATGAGGATGAGGATGGAGGGTGCTGGGGTCCACAGCCCTGGGAGTCCCGACTCGCAGCCCCACCTGCCTGGAGCTCTGCTGCTGCTCCAGCTCAGCCTTGGCCGTCCCAGCTGTGGACTGAGAGCGCCCCCATGTGGCCCTGATCCTTGCAGATTCTGAAACGTGGGTGGCTGCGGGAAGATGGGCTCAGGAAGGAACAGACAGATTCGGGGATGGGGTGGGGGATTCACAATGGACCCCCGCCCCTCCGGCACCGCTTTGGGGTTCTTCTTCAGAAGCACCTGAGGTCTTTCACCCTGACTAGTTGAAAGTTCCCCTTGATCAAAGGCTGTGGCCTCTCCTCTCCCATGCAAGAACTATGTTGCTTCAGCTCCAGGGCGTCACATAAAAACACAAGACAGAGGACAGGCTTGTTGATGCTGTCCCTCCCTCTTCATCGACGCCACGAACTGCTCATCAGGACCTTACAGGACATGAGGCGACGTGCTGCCTAGTGTTGCATACGCGTGAGGTCTGGGTGGGCCCCAGCTGCCTCATCACCCAAGGCACGTGGGTGCCCCTGGTCCCCCTGGCCCCCTCCTGCAGCTTGTTCTGTGCTCATGGACCTTGCTCCTCAGTGCTGAGTGCAACTCAGCGGGGAAACTGCTCCCCGTGTCTATGCAGCCACCTCCACTCTGCTGTGTTGTCATTCTAGGACAAGGGGCCAAGCTTGTCCGCTCTTTGTATTTTTCAAGGGATGCTAGGAATATGATTTTCGCTTAAGATGATTTGTTTTTAATATTGACAACTAATTTTTTTAAACTTTTTCCTTGCTTGTTTGCATTGTATTAGAGAGAGAGAGAGAGAGAGAGAGAGATCGTCTATCTACTGGTTCACTCCACAACTGTCCACAACATCTAGGACTGGGCCAGGCTGAAGCCAGGAGCCACAACTCAATCCGGGTCTCCCGTGTGGATGGCAGGAACCCAGGCACTTGAGCTGCTTGCATTAGCAGGAAGCTGGAATCAGAAGCAGAGCCAGGACTGGAACCCAGGCTCTCTGATATGGGGTGTGGGTATCTTAACCACTGCACCAAGTACCTGCCCCAGAAACTCATTTTAAATATTTTTAATAAATGCTGTGGAGCCAAGCCAAACAATGACCTTCCCAGCCCAGCCCTGACCGCCTGTGTGTGACCTTTGACCCGGGGCATTCCCCGACACCAGAGTTCTGGGAAACAGAAAGGAATTTGATAAATGTGCACTGTCTTCGGATGAGGATGACCACGTCAACTTACCATCAGTGTAGGGAGAAGTTTTCCTAGTGAATGGGCTGCACATTTTTCTGATCCAGGCATTGTCAGTGCATCTGCCTTGTGGACAGCAGCACATCGCTGGGTTGGTGAAGTTCAAGGGCTGTTTGCTGCACCTGCTGTGGGGCCCTACGCCATGAGCAGACCTTGCTACAGGCTGGCTTCGTAACACTGACTTTTAACAAAAGGCCATGTCCAAGTACTGTGAAAATACTGCAAACCTAAGTGATGTGGGCAGGGGTTTGCCCTACTGCATAAGCTGCTGGTTGGGACACCTGCATCCTGTAGCAGGTGCCTGGTTTCAACACCTGGGCCATGACTCCAGCTTCCTGAGAGGACAGATCCTGGGACATAGTGGTGATGGCTCAACTACCTGGTTCCCTGCTTCCCACCTGGGAGCCCTGGGTTCAGTGCTTTCTCCTGGCTTTGGTCTGGCCCAGTTCCAGCTATGACGGGCATTTGAATAGTGAAGCAGTGGAGATTGTTAGTTCTCTCTGTGTGTGTGTGTCTGTGTGTGTGTGTATCTCGAATAAGTAAATAAAAATTTTAGAAAATGGTGACAGTTGCCTGAGCCCTTACCACGTGTGAGAAGCCCCGTCAGCATTCAGTGCCTGTACTGCGTATATCCCTGTCTGAGGCACATGTTCTAAGGTGGCCAGCAGCCCACGGCCCCCGAGTATGTCCATAAGAGAGCACATTTGCAGAAGGTGCCAGATCATTCTTGACCCCCAAGATACTGGCTGATTGGCAGCCCCTTGATCACACCCCCCAAACATTTGTATCAACCTTTTGGGGGTTCTTGCTCAGCCCCCTCCCCTCAAAGAAAAGTTCAGCCTCATAGTCTGAGTAGTTGCTTAGCAACCAGCTAATGGTATAGCAAAAACAAACAGATCGGTTGAAAAATAATGCAATCAGTTCTATACGTGGACATAGCTGAGATCCTTACTGAAGTTTCTTTCTGTAAAATCCCTTTATGTCTTTCTCCTGAAGCCTGAACTCACAACCATGCAGCTCTCACTGTTGGTTCCAGACAATGTCAAGTGGAATTCGGCAGGGCTTGGCAGGGTGCATTTGAATCCAGATTCCCCGGGACCCTGTATTTGACCTGGGGTGGGGCAGCTCCCTTTGTCTCCCCCTCTTCCTTGTCCTCAGCTAACAGAGGGGCTCCTCAAACCTCTTGCAGGCTGCAGTGGGCGCTTGGCAGGAGTGCGTTTTCCATCCGTTGGCCCATTCACAAGGCTCAGCATTGGCCTCTGTTGTCAGGAGCCCCTGCCACATGGGTCACGCATGTCACCATTCCAGTTCTTTCTGTTACAGCATAAGAAACCATACACACATGTCCCTGAGTGACTGTGTCCCAGTAATGTTTTCAAATCTGTGATGATAAAAACCTGATGCGCACTCAGTAGAGACCATACTTATTTGAATTTTGAATCTTCCTCTTTTCCTGGGCTAGCGATGTGCTCGTGACCCTCTCGGGCAATGCTATAGGTCAGCCCCAGGATCGAGAAGGGCAGCAGCAGGACTCTACAATGTGCTGTGTTGCTCACCTGGGACGTTTGGCTGGTTATGAGTATTCAATGCACTTGGACTTCATGATTGTTTCAACTTATAGTGCATCTATTGGGACAACATCTCTCCTCCTTCGTATGTACTTGTCCATGGGAAAGATATAACCTCACCAACCTTTCTTTTCTGTAAGATTGGAATCATAGTATTTCTTCCCTCAAAAAGCCCTGGGCAGGTGAAGTACTATTTGGAAAGCACGTGGCAAAACCGTGACTGTGCAGTGTACGTCCCGCCATGGCCAAGCACTGCTGTAGGCACTGGAGCTCTAACCGTGATCGTGACAGGCAAGTGCATGCCCTGGCGAGGTTTATCCTGCACCTGTAGGTGCTGCTCCCACGACTGGTGTGGATATTGTTATCATGACAGATAAGGAGAGAAAAGATAGCAGGGCCCAGACTGACAGGCAATGGCCCCGTGTGGGTGGACAGGGAAGACCCTGAAAGGAGGAGCTGGCTGAGGTTAGTATCATGGCTGTTGCAGGGATTCGGAAGCAGTAGTGTGGCCAAAGTTCCGGAGTGACAGAGTCCTGGCAGGTGGGATGTCTCAACAGCTTCGCTCCGCTGTGACTGTCTTTATCTCAGACAGGAGCAGGTCTCCGGTCTCTTTCTCACCTTCGCCTGCAGAATTCTGACTTTGGACCAGTGCCTGCAGCTCCAAGTGTCTCTCCTGTCCTTTCTGCCTCTGCTTTCGAGGGGATGGATGTGCCA